TCTCTCTCTGTGATGAGTTTCCACTTCCGGTGATTTTCACGACGCGTTATGTAAATTCCGTCAATTCAAATCAATTCGTTGATTATCTGCGTCATGGCCATATTACGTATAAATTTGACTTACATACTTAAAAAAATAATGTTTTTAATAAAGAATAAGAATATCATTAATTAATTATGAATATAAAAATTTTTTTTAAGTGACGATTAGTTTATAATTTTAAGAAATTGATATTTAGAGTTTGTAAAATAGCTATTTTAATGACAAAAATTTTATTTTATAGTTGTTTTAGGGAATTATAATTTTATTAGAAATTCAATCTATTAAATTTTATATTAATTGATATATATTTATCGTTAGAAATTGAATTAATTAATTTTTTAAGAAATAAATACATTCTTACTTAATTTACTTTGATAGAAACATTTTATAAGATAGTTACTCTCTATCTAGGTAAAGTTATGAATATGTAAACGGGGCGAGCGATGGAACTTCGTTTTTTATGAAATTAACATACTAGTTATGATAATGAAATGCGTGGGAGAGGCAGACGATTGAGAGATTCTCTTTTATCGTGGGCAGTTGTAATAAATATGTGACCGAAATTCTGTTAGAAATTTTTTCCATAATTGCCAAAAAATAATTTCTTTATAGAAGTATATAATTGAAAAAATATATATTATTAAATAAAAAACTTTACATAATTTTTAAAAATAATTATTAACTATTTTGAGATTTATATTTAATGTAAAATATTTTGTGGACTTGCTGTTCACAAAAATTCTAAAAGCAATATTTTTACGTATATCAAGAATAAAAGAAAACATTTCTTTTTAAATCTTGTCACATGTTTTGTAAAGAGATTTGTAATCTTGTAAAGAGATTTTTGCAAAAATGACGCGTAGATATATAGTATAATTTGAGGAAGTCTGTTCTGCAATTGCGAATTGCGATATTGTACTCCCGATACATAGCTATCCTGCGTTTCCCGAAATAGGTCATTTCCTGCCTGTTTTGCGTAACAACTAACACAAATGCAAAATAGTGTGCCATAATCCAGTAAATCTGTTTTTTAATGATAAGCTATTCGTTAATTTAATCTTAAAGGTTTGCAACATTTATTTCTTCGCCAATCACCTTTTTCTAAAAGATAAAATCATGTTTTTTAAGCTGTTACTAATTTATTACAATATATAAATTGATAAAATTTAATATAATGCGACAATGAGGGTAACATTTCGAATCCGTTATTTGATCTTATTCCATTTCCGTGTCTTATTCTAGAACATTTTTAGAAGAAAGCGTGCCAAAAACCCGTGCACGTCTCGTCTGAATACGTATGCAGATAACGGGGATTCCCCTTCCAAGAAGGAAATGAGCATTGCACCATGCTCCCTCGCATAGGCATAATTAAATACTTGTCTGTGTAACTCGACGATAAACGCCTGTTCGAAGCGCGATATGCACGCTGCTATTTCAGAATGTTTCCCCCTCGATTAGCAATTTCTTGCGTCAGCATTATATGCGTGCGAGGAATTACAAGTTGCTTTGCCCTAAAGAGCACAGGTGAATTTATGGCCTCCGATGCAAACGTATGCGATTATTCCCATATTTATTGATAGTAAAGAATTAGTAATTGGATAAGATAATTGAGATGTGCCACAGCAAGACGTTGTAAGTGTAATTAATTAAAATTTTTTACAGAAATTGAGAGAGATGGAGTGAGATTTTTTGAGTTTTCACACATAAAAAGAAAAATTTTCTTGAAAATTAAAAAAAATTCTACAAGAATGAACACAGTAACTAAAGATATGAGCAATCAGTGTCTCTGCAAAAATTTAAACTAATTCTAATTTTTAAAAAATGTATCAAAATTGTTCAAATTTTAAAACGCTTTAAGTCCAAGTAAAAATGTAAGTTAAAACGTTTTAAGTTTAAATAAAAATGCATAATTAACTGCATAATGGACTTGTACAACACTCAGGGAAGTGTTTCGCTATTTCAGCTAGAATTCTAAGTATTATATCTAAAATGTATCGCTGATTTTTGTATCTGCTAGAAAATTTTCTATCATACCTAACTTTTATAGCAGCAATATTCTAACAATACTTGCAAGAAAAAATAGCTAGTGTAAGGTCTATATATTTATTTGACTGCCGTCGCTAAACTTTTCTATCTACCACAGTTATTTTTATAAGAGATATGTGACAGCTTATATTTGACTAGACGTCACAGGAAGACTTTTTTGCTGAATTTAACAAATGATTCAGATATAAATTCTATCTCTATTATCTAAATCGATTAGATATGAGATATATACGATATCGTAGTGCTCGCTAGCCATTTATCTATTTCAGCTAATTTTTCGTAGCTAGAAAATTTTTGCTACAATTGTAAAATCACTTTTTTCAGTGAACATTTTGCACTATCCATTTTTTTGCTTGTAGCAGCAGCACTTTTTACATAAAATGTTAATATATGATAGAATAGAACATTTACAACTCGTTTATACGCATTTCATGATTTTGGATTTACAATGTTTTGTCGTGACATGTCTTAATTAACGTCCGTCTATAATCGTAGTATCTGACTTCGAAACTCAATCCTGCAGATTTTAAATTTGAATTGTGGCAAAATAATGAGTACCTTCTGATTGAGTTAATAAAAGAAAAAAATCAGCTCGCACGAAACGGCCATGGTCATCGTTGTTTCATGGCACAGATTCTTGCCATTTTATAAAGTCGTTGCGTCAACAACAGTGGAATAAAAACGTCGTGTGCAATATACGCGAAAGTCTCCGTGAGCGAAGATACTGAAGATATTGCGGTAACGTCGCATAAAGTCTCTTTGCAGAAATGTGACAAAACCAGCTGTGACTCGGCCTTGTTCTTCATTTCAATAATGATTTCTCAATCATCGAACAAAATCGCGTTTAACTTCGATAATATCTAATGATGTTGGTTTTTACTCCTGACTTTTTGCTGTGAAAAGGTTACTATATTGGATGAAGGAGAACTTTCGAAAAATTTCTGTAATAATTTAACCTTTCGCGTCTGCAATAATATTTTTATTTTCTTTGTCTATAATCTGGGTCTCTTTTGTCCAGTCTATATTTTTTTATTGTTCTAGTAGGCTTTCAAAAAATATAGAAAAAATTCGAGGTTACTTTTCAACATTTCTATTATAAATGATCAAATAGTTTTTTCAATTATTTCAAGAGAGGGAACCAGATAACACTCTCTTTTATTTCGGAGAAATTTGAGAGTAAAATTACGCTTGTATAAAAAAACCAATTCTATAAAGTTAGTAAGATATTCTGTTATAATATAAAAAAAACAATTACATTTCCAGTAGCACTTTTTATAATTCTCTTCAATTCGAGAGAGAGAGAGAGGGGGGGAAGGAGGGGGAGGAGGGG